GAAATATCCGCTAGGATTTTTTTTTAACCTAAGAAAAGCGTTTGACATAGTAGACCACGGCATCCTACTCCACAAACTTGACCACTATGGTATAAGAGGCCATGCGCTTGCATATTTTAAATCCTACCTTTTTAATAGGTATCAATATGTTACCATTAAAGACACAGCCTCATCAATACGGCCACTTTATACTGGAGTTCCGCAGGGAAGTGCCCTTGGTCCCCTGCTCTTCCTCATTTACATCAATGATCTTCCAAACATATCCCAACACCTGAAACCCATTCTCTTTGCTGACGACACGACTTATGTCATCTCCCACCCTAATCTTGCCACCCTCATCACCATTGTTAACGAGGAGCTGCTCAAAATATCGACTTGGATGACAGCCAATAAACTTACACTTAACACTGGCAAAACCTACTATATTATGTTTGGTAGCAGAGCAGGTGTTGCGTAACTTAACATTAAGATCAACAACACTCTAATTGCCAAACATAATGAGGGCAAATTCCTTGGCCTATACCTCGACAACAACCTAAATTTCAGCACCCATGTCCAACACATAACAAAAAAAGTATCCAAAACGGTGGGGATCCTCTCCAAGATACGATACTACGTGCCGCAAACTGCCCTTCTCACACTATACCATTCACTTATATATCCATACCTCACCTATGCTATCTGTGCTTGGGGTTCAATTGCAGCAACACACCTAAAGCCAATAATAACCCAACAAAAAGCTGCAGTAAGAATAATCACTAAATCCCATCCCTGGCAACACCCCCCTCCCCCACTCTTCATAGATCTAAACTTACTCCCTGTTCAAAACATCCACACTTACTACTGTGCAATCTATATCTACAGGACCTTAAATTCCAATATTAACCTTGACCTAAACGCTTTCTTGATTGTTGTGACAGGATCCACAGGAATAACACCAGACACAAACATCTCTATGACATTCCCCGTGTTCGACTAAACCTTTACAAAAATTCAATGTATTCAAAGGACCTAAAATCTGGAAACCCTACCTGAAAATCTCTAGAACTGCAGACACATTCATCACTTTCAAAACTACAGTTAGAAAACATCTTATCTCCCTGATACACCCCGACAACTAACTACATGATAACCACTAGGTGGTTCACAATTACACTCACTCACCCACTGACTATAAACCCAGAAATACTAATCTTAATCTTAAAATAATGAATCCTAACTAGTCATAAGTTTGCCTATGATACTCCAATGTAGACACTTTGTATTGTGCCAAAACAAAAGCATTCACATTGCTAAACTCACAAATTGTGATGTAGTCACTTAGCCTTAATACCATAATCTGTAAGGATTTAATGTTAAGAATTAATCTAAGTCTGCCCGAAATGCCTAGCCAGGCTAGGTGTCCTAGTGGCCCCCTCTGTAATTAGTATTTTATAATATGTAAACCACACAATACCCAAAACCTGTAAACCCCACATTGTAACCCTTATAAAGAATAAACTTGAATTGAATTGAATTGAAAGGTAGTATGTCTTGCTCATTTCCGAGACCATGAAACAGCCTGTCTTTTGAGCGACGGTGCTGGTGGTAGAGAACAGATACAAAACAACGCCTGAGACACAGGTAAGATTCCCTGATGACAAGTCTGGCATTGCGACAGTTCACGAGATACTTGTGGGTGTTGTGGTGCAGGCGTCGAGTCGTCCCTTTTACAACGTAAATATGTGAGCCCCTACCAGCTGAGTCAAGCCATGGATGGCTCTTTCTCTCCCCTAGATACCTTCCTCCAACAAAACTTATTCTTAACCACTCCTCTCTTCCACGATCAACCCCCCAAAAGCTCTTATGTTTAAATGCAACAAGCATGCAAGCTCTTTGGCAAGAGTATGTTCACTGATGCGTTGCATGAGGCTCCTAGATGGTTCCTCTACGTACACCTTTTCACATGACGAACATGAGATGATATAAATACCAGCGTCGTTAAAAAGTTGTTAATGGTGTTGGAAGTGATGTTGTCTATGCTGATCTTAGAAAAGTAAAATTGGAGACGTTCCCAGAAGACAAGTCTGACTAGCAGAACAGCGTACCCGTGAGGTATTAGACACTGTTGCAATAATAAAGATACCCAAATGTTGCAGAAGTGTCTAATTCTTCAATTTGTCGGTTTTATAAATTATCGTCATCGTTGGATGACGATAATATTGTTCGTGATTTACGACAATGTTGAGTGTGAGTGAGACTCAGGGGAGGTGGGGTCTCCTGGACAAGTAACCAAATAATAATATACTTTATATCTTATGGGTTTGTAGGTCCTTATTATATTATTTACATTAGCTACAATGTGCAACTCTTGGGTATCTTTATTGTGGAAACGTTTCGCCACACAGTGGCTTCATCAGTCCAATACAAAGAAGAATGGTGAAGATCAAAGGGAGATTGAGGTAATCAGTACGTCAGCCTGGAGTCAATCTTGATTGATGGACTGATTATATCGACTCTGGGGTATGGGACTGACTACCCTAATCTTCACTATTCTTTGTATTAGACTGATAAAGCCACTGGGTGGCAAAACGTTTCCAAAATATAGATACTCAAGTGTGTCTAATTTGTCAACGCGTCGGTTCTCTGACCATTTATCTACATTAGATACAATGGGTAATGAAAGTTAAGACACATGTGCAACATCTGGATATCTTTATTGTAGTAGACGTTTCGCCATCCAGTGGCTTTATCAATACAGATTCTAGGACATAATAGGAAGACAGTAGAACTATATACAAAAGATGAGGTAATCAGTCCCTCGGCCTTGGAGTTAGTGTTCACAGCATCGTGGTGGAGGAGAGTCTGGAGCAAAGGCAAGAAGACTGGCGCTTTTTATAGGCGTCAGTGAATGGGACGGGCAGCAGACGAGGTCAGTCACTGGTAGGCGGGATTCCCAGTGGAAGTAGGTCCTTCCCAAAGAGATGGGTTAGTTGCAGCAGCCGTGAAGAAGGTCTTGTAGATGTCCTCTGAACCAAGATTCCATGATGTTGCAGTGTCTGACAAGTTGTGCAAAGAAAGGTATAAAATACCGACAATATGAAAGTTAAGACACATGTGCAACATCTGGATATCTTTATTGTAGTAGACGTTTCGCCATCCAGTGGCTTTATCAATACAGATTCTAGGACATAATAGGAAGACAGTAGAACTATATACAAAAGATGAGGTAATCAGTCCCTCGGCCTTGGAGTTAGTGTTCACAGCATCGTGGTGGAGGAGAGTCTGGAGCAAAGGCAAGAAGACTGGCGCTTTTTATAGGCGTCAGTGAATGGGACGGGCAGCAGACGAGGTCAGTCACTGGTAGGCGGGATTCCCAGTGGAAGTAGGTCTTCCCAAAGAGATGGGTTAGTTGCAGCAGCCGTGAAGAAGGTCTTGTAGATGTCCTCTGAACCAAGATTCCATGATGTTGCAGTGTCTGACAGTTGTGCAAAGAAAGGTATAAAATACCGACAATATGAAAGTTAAGACACATGTGCAACATCTGGATATCTTTATTGTAGTAGACGTTTCGCCATCCAGTGGCTTTATCAATACAGATTCTAGGACATAATAGGAAGACAGTAGAACTATATACAAAAGATGAGGTAATCAGTCCCTCGGCCTTGGAGTTAGTGTTCACAGCATCGTGGTGGAGGAGAGTCTGGAGCAAAGGCAAGAAGACTGGCGCTTTTTATAGGCGTCAGTGAATGGGACGGGCAGCAGACGAGGTCAGTCACTGGTAGGCGGGATTCCCCCAGTGGAAGTAGGTCCTTCCCAAAGAGATGGGTTAGTTGCAGCAGCCGTGAAGAAGGTCTTGTAGATGTCCTCTGAACCAAGATTCCAGAATCTGTATTGATAAAGCCACTGGATGGCGAAACGTCTACTACAATAAAGATATCCAGATGTTGCACATGTGTCTTAACTTTCATATTGTCGGTATTTTATACCTTTCTTTGCACAACTTGTCAGACACTGCAACATCATGGAATCTTGGTTCAGAGGACATCTACAAGACCTTCTTCACGGCTGCTGCAACTAACCCATCTCTTTGGGAAGGACCTACTTCCACTGGGGAATCCCGCCTACCAGTGACTGACCTCGTCTGCTGCCCGTCCATTCACTGACGCCTATAAAAGCGCCAGTCTTCTTGCCTTTGCTCCAGACTCTCCTCCACCACGATGCTGTGAACACTAACTCCAAGGCGAGGGACTGATTACCTCATCTTTTGTTTATAGTTCTACTGTCTTCCTATTATGTCCTAGAATCTGTATTGATTAAAGCCACTGGATGGCGAAACGTCTACTACAATAAAGATATCCAGATGTTGCACATGTGTCTTAACTTTCATATTGTCGGTATTTTATACCTTTCTTTGCACAACTTGTCAGACACTGCAACATCATGGAATCTTGGTTCAGGGACTTCTACAAGACCTTCTTCACGGCTGCTGCAACTAACCCATCTCTTTGGGAGGACCTACTTCCACTGGGGAATCCCGCCTACCAGTGACTGACCTCGTCTGCTGCCCGTCCCATTCACTGACGCCTATAAAAAGCGCCAGTCTTCTTGCCTTTGCTCCAGACTCTCCTCCACCACGATGCTGTGAACACTAACTCCAAGGCCGAGGGACTGATTACCTCATCTTTTGTATATAGTTCTACTGTCTTCCTATTATGTCCTAGAATCTGTATTGATAAAGCCACTGGATGGCGAAACGTCTACTACAATAAAGATATCCAGATGTTGCACATGTGTCTTAACTTTCATATTGTCGGTATTTTATACCTTTCTTTGCACCACAATGGGTAATGTTAATATACGAAGTGATTGCAATATATTTTCCCGAGATGTCTGACAAAGGCCCATTGTGACCACTGTATTCCTTTTTTTTTGCGCTGTCGTTCACAAGATGAGCATAATAAACTAGTTGCTGAGGCAGCACAATTAAACTAAAATAAGCTGGCCCGACACTGGTTATTACAGGTGGAATATTCGAGGAACGGGACGAGGTACAAGAGCTGGCCTTCAGGTACGCCGTTGAGCGGGTCAACAAGGATCGGTCGACACTCCCTGACTCCAAGCTTAGCGCTCAGATAGAGCGGCTGCCAGCCGATGACTCATTCAAAGCCTCCAAGCAAGGTCAGTTCTTTCTACCCTGATTCATCCCTTCAAGGTTGACCACTTAATTAATCACTGTTAGAAGGATTAATGTACACTCAGTATTTATGCACTGAGATACACACCTCTCGGTGTAGACACACTGAGAGACACACACTTCTCGGTGTAGACACAATGATAGACACACACTTCTCGGTGTAGACACACTGACAGAGACACTTTTCGGTGTAGACACACTGAAGACCCTTAAATTACATTCACTTGTTAGACGAAGAATGAGGGGAGACATGATCGAAGTGTATAAGTGGAAGATGGGTGTTAATAAAGGGAATATAAATAAGGTCTTGAGGATATCTCTCAAGAGAGAACCCGCAGTAATGGATTCAAATTAGACAAGCTTAGATTTAGAAAGGATGTAGGAAAGTATTGGTTTGGAAATAGGGTAGTTGATGAGTGGAACAGTCTACCTAGTTGGGTTATTGAGGCTAAAGCCTTGGGTAGTTTCAAATATAGGTTGGATAAATACATGAGTGAGAGGGGTTGGATTTGAGTGGGACGTGCATATGAGAGTGGATAGAGTTATCAGAGCTTATTTCTTGGATGGCATTATTATTATTATAATCAAAAAGAAGCGCTAAGCCACAAGGGCTATACAGCGCTGCAGGGCAGGAAGGAAGCGAGGGTACCAGGTGGCAAAAGGGAGAAAGATGAGTAATAGGTTACGGAGAACAGCGGGGCAGTGGATGGTGAAAGGGTAGAGGGCAGCAAGAGACTGAGGTAGAAAGGGCTGAGGGTAGTGCGAAAGGTATCATCAAAATTTGTGGAGTAAATCAGTCGTTGTCAAGAAGTCAATGAGAGAGTCAGGATTAAAGGAGAGTCCATCAGCAAGAAGGGAAGGTAAAGAGAGAGTAGTAGAGCGGAGACGACGTTGGAGGTAAATTCTGCGTGCTCGCTGATAGAGAGGGCAGTCTAACAGAATGTGGCTAATCGATACTGGAACTTGACACTTCTCACAGAGAGGAACAGGGTGCCTCTCCATGAGATACCCATGAGTAAGATGAGTGTGGCCAATGCGAAGGCGGGAGAGAGTAGTCTCCCAACCTCGGCACTGATGACAAGAGGACGGCCAGTAACCTATGCTGGGTTTAATAGAATGAAGTTTGTTACCGAGCAGAGTTGACCAACGTTGTTGCCAACGGGTGTGAAGGTGGGTAGCTATTACAGCAAAATAGTCCAGAAATTTGGATGGCATTGAAAATTGGGTTGGGCAAATGTTTTGTTAGTGGGATGGATTGTAAAGGACCTGCCTAGTATGGGCCAGCAGGCCTGCTGCAGTGTTCCTCCTTTCTTATGTTCTTATGTTCTTATGACAGACACACACTTCTCGGTGTAGACACACTGAGAGAGACACTTCTCGGTGTAGACACACTGATAGGCACACACTTCTCGATGTAGATACACTGAGAGAGACACTTCTCGGTGTAGACACACTGAGAGAGACACTTCTCGGTGTAGACACACTGAGAGAGACACTTCTCGGTGTAGACACACTGAGAGAGACACTTCTCGGTGTAGACACACTGATAGGCACACACTTCTCGATGTAGACACACTGAGAGAGACACTTCTCGGTGTAGACACACTGAGAGAGACACTTCTCGGTGTAGACACACTGAGAGAGACACTTCTCTGTGTAGACACACTGAGAGAGACACTTCTCGGTGTAGACACACTGATAGGCACACACTTCTCGATGTAGACACACTGAGAGAGACACTTCTCGGTGTAGACACACTGAGAGAGACACTTCTCGGTGTAGACACACTGAGATACACACCTCTCGGTGTAGACACACTGATAGACACACACTTCTCGATGTAGACACTGAGAGAGACGCTTCTCGGTGTAGACACACTGAGAGAGACACTTCTCGGTGTAGACACACTGAGAGAGACACTTCTCGGTGTAGACACACTGAGATACATACCTCTCGGTGTAGACACACTGATAAACACACACTTCTCTGTGTAGACACACTGAGAAACTTTTCTCGCTGTATACAGACTGAGAGACACACACTTCTTCATGTAGACACACTGAGAGACACACACTTCTCGGTGTAGACACACTTAGAGACGCACACTTCTCGGTGTAGACACACTTAGAGACGCACACTTCTCGGTGTAGACACATTGAGAGACACACACTTCTCGGTGTAGACACACTGAGACACACTTCTCGGTGTAGACACACTGAGACACACACTTCTCGGTGTAGACACATTGAGAGAAACACACACTTCTCGGTGTAGACACACTAAGAGACACACCTCTCGGTGTAGACACAGAGAGAGACACACTCGGTGTAGACACAGAGAGAGAGAGACACTTCTCGGTGTAGTCACACTGAGAAGTGTAGAGAAATGTAGAAGTGTAGTCCCTTTCGCATGGGCGAAAGGGACTACTTAGTAAGAGCAATTCAGTCTGAGGGCCATAAGGTGGTAATTGCAGTAATGTACAACCCACCACAGAACTGCAGGAGGCCAAGAGAAGAAAACGAAGAGAGCAACAGAACAATGGTCGACACACTAGCCGAAGTGGCCAGAAGAGCTCAGATGGGGGAGCAAAGTTACTAGGAAATTGACTGGGAAAACCTGGAGCCCCATGGGGGTCCCGAAACATGGAGAGGCAAGATGATGGATGTGGTACTGGAAAACCTCATGCCTAGGAAGCAAGATCGCCACCCATCTAGATACCCATCAATTACACAACCCAGGGCAACATGGGTTTAGAACAGGTCGCTCCTGTCTGTCCCAACTACTGGATCACTACGACAAGGTCCTAGATGCACTAGAAAACAAAAAGAATGCAGATGTAATATATACAGACTTTGCAAAAGCCTTCGGCAAGTGTGACCATGGCGTAATAACGCACAAAATGCGTGCTAAAGAAATAACAGAAAAAGTTGGTAGATGGATCTATAATTTCCTCACAAAAAGAACACAAAGAGTAGTAGTCAACAGAGTAAAGTCTGAGGCAGCTACGGTGAAAAGCTCTGTTCCGCAAGGCACAGTGCTCGCTCCCAACTTGTTCTCATCCACATATCTGACATATACAAGGATGTCAGCCACAACACCGTGTCTTCCTTTGCAGATGACACCCGATTCTGCATGACAGTGTCTTCCACTGCAGACACTGCAAGGCTCCAGGCGGACATCAACCAAATCTTTCAATGGGCTGCAGAAAACAATATGAAGTTCAACGATGAGAAATTTCAATTACTCCGATATGGTAAACATGAGGAAATTAAAACTTCATCAGAGTACAAAACAAATTCTATCCACAAAATACAGCGAAAAACTAACGTCAAAGACCTGGGAGTGATCATGTCGGAGGATCCACCTTCAAGGACCATAATATTGTATCAATCGCATCTGCTAGAAAAATGACAGGATGGATAATGAGAACCTTCAAAACTAGGGATGCCAAGCCCATGATGACACTCTTCAGGTCGCTTGTTCTATCTAGGCTAGAATATTGCCGCACACTAACAGCACCTTTCAATTGCTGATCTAGAAAATATACAGAGAACCTTCACGGCACGCATAACGGAGATAAAACACCTCAATTACTGGGAGCGCTTGAGGTTCCTGAACCTGTACTCCCTGGAAAATCCTAGAGGGACTAGTATCGAACTTGCACACGAAAATCACTCACAACGAAAACAAAAGACTCGGCAGACGATGCAACATCCCCCCAATGAAAAGCAGGGGTATCACTAGCACATTAAGAGACAACACAATAAGTGTCAGGGGCCCAAGACTGTTCAACTGCCTCCCAGCATACATAAGGGGGATTACCAATTGACCCCTGGCTGTCTTCAAGCAGGCACTGGACAAGCACCTAAAGTCGATACCTGACCAGCCGGGCTGTGGCTCGTACGTTGGATTGCGTGCAGCCTGCAGTAACAGCCTGGTTGATCAGGCTCTGATCCACCATGAGGCCTGGTCACAGACCGGGCTGCGGGGGCGTTGACCCCCGGAACTCTCTCCAGGTAAACTCCAGGCATCAACATGTTAGAGACACTACCAGAGAGAGAGAGAGAGGTGAGGATGATCCAGCAAGACTGGACCTTGTATTCACCTTGAGTAGTTCAGACATCGAGGATATCATGTGTCAAAGACCCCTAAGAGCTAGTGATCATCATGTGGTTCTGTGCTTTGACGACATAGTTGAGCTAAAAGTGGAGAGAGTAGCAGGAATAGGATGGAAAAAAACAAACTACAAAAGGGGGACTACACAGGCATGAGGAACTTCCTGCAAGACGTTTAGTGGGAGAGAGAACTGACAGGAAAACCAGTACAAGAAATGATGGACTATGTGACAACAAAATGCAAGGAGGCAGAGGAGAGGTTTGTTCCCAAGGGAAACAGAAATAATGGGAAGACCAGAACGAGTCCTTGGTTCACCCAAAGGTGTAGGGAAGCAAAAACTAGGTGCACTAGAGAATGGAAAAGGTACAGAAGACAAAGGACCCAAGAAAATAAAGAGATTAGCCGAAGAGCCAGAAACGAATATGCACAGATAAGAAGGGAGGCTCAGCGACAATATGAAAACGACATAGCATCGAAAGTCAAGTCTGACCCGAAACTGTTGTATAGCCACATCAGGAGGAAAACAACAATCAAGGACCAGGTAATCAGACTGAGGAAGGATGATGGGGAGCTCACAAGAAACGACCAAGAGGTATGTGAGGAGCTCAACACGAAATTTAAAGAAGTATTTACAGTGGAAACCAGTAGGACTCCAGGAAATCAGAACAGGGAGGTACACCAACAAGTGTTGGATGAGGTACACATAACCAAGGAGGAGGTGAAGAAGCTGCTATGTGAACTTGACACCTCAAAGGCAGTGGGGCCAGACATCTGTCTGTGGGTCCTTAGAGAAGGAGCAGAGAAGCTGTGCATGCTACAAACAAAGATCTTCAACACATCCATTGAAACTGGGCAACTCCCTGAGGTATGGAAGATGGCAAATGTAGTCCCAATTTTTAAAAAAGAAGACAGACATGAGGCATTAAACTACAGACCTGTGTCACTAACGTATATGGTATGCAAAGTCATGGAGAGGATCATCAGGAGAATGGTGGAGCACCTGGAAAGAAACAAGTGTATAATCGACAACCAGCACGGTTTCAAGGAAGGAAAATCCTGAGTCACAAACCTACTGGAGTTTTATGACAAGGTGACAGAAGTAAGACAAGAAAGAGAGGGGTGGATAGACTGCATTTTCTTGGACTGCAAGAAGGCCTTCGACACAGTTCCTCACAAGAGGTTACTGCAAAAGCTAGAGGAACAGGCACACATAACAGGAAAGGCACTGCAATGGATCAGAGAATACCTGACAGGGAGGCAACAACGAGTAATGGTACGTGACGAGTCGTCAGAGTGGGCGCCTGTGACAAGCGGGGCTCCACAGGGGTCAGTCCTAGGACCTGTGCTGTTTTTGGTATATGTGAATGACATAACGGAAGGGATAGACTCAGAAGTGCCTTGTTTGCAGATGATGTGAAGTTAATGAGGAGAATCAAATCGGTCGAGGATCAGGCAGGACTACAAAGAGACCTGGAAAGCCTGGTCCAGCAACTGGCTCCTTGAATTCAACCCTGCCAAATGCAGAGTCATGAAGATTGGGGAAGGGCAAAGAAGACCACAGACACAGTATAGTCTAGGTGGCCAAAGACTGCAAACCTCACTGAAGGAAAAAGATTTTGGGGTGAGTATAACACCGAGCACATCTCCTGAGGCGCTCATCAATCAGATAACTGCTGCAGCTTACGATCGTCTGGCAAACCCAAGGATAGCGTTCCGATACCTCAGAAAGGAATCCTTCGAGACTCTGTACACCATTTACGACAAGCCCATACTGGAGTATGCAGCACCAGTTTGGAATCCACACGTGGTCAAGCACGTCAAGAAATTAGAGAAAGTGCAAAGGTTTGCAACAAGACTAGTCCCAGAGCTAAAGGGATTGTCCTACGAAGAAAGGTTAAGGGAAATCGGCCTGACGACACTGGAGGACAGGAGGGTCAGGGGAGACATGATAACGACATATAAAATACTGCGCGGAATAGACAAGGTGGACAATGACAGGATGTTCCAGAGATGGGACACAGAAACAAGAGGTCACAACTGGAAGTTGATGACTCACATGAGTCAAAGGGATGTTAGGAAGTATTTCTTCAGTCATAGAGTTGTCAGAAAGTGGAATAGCCTAGAAAGTGATGTAGTGGAGGCGGGAACCATACATAGTTTTAAGGCGAGGTATGATAAAGCTCATGGAGCAGGGAGAGAGAGGACCTAGTAGCAATCAGTGAAGAGGCGGGGCCAGGAGCTATGACTTGACCCCTGCAACCACAAAGAGGTGAGTACACTTTTCGGTGTAGACACACTGAGAGACACTTCTCGGTTTAGACACACTGAGAGAGAGACACTTCTCGGTGTAGACACACTGAGAGACACTTCTCGGTGTAGACACACTGAGAGACACTTCTCGGTGTAGACACACTGAGAGAGACACTTCTCGGTGTAGACACACTGAGAGAGAGACACTTCTCGGTGTAGACACACTGAGAGAGACACTTCTCGATGTAGACACACTGAGAGAAACACACTTCTCGATGTAGACACAGTGAGAGAGACATACTTCTCGGTGTAGACACACTGAGAGAGACGCACTTCTCGGTGTAGACACACTGAGAGAGACACTTCTCGGTGTAGACACAGTGAGAGAGACACACTTCTCGGTGTAGACACACTGAGAGACACTTCTCGGTGTAGACACACTGAGAGACACTTCTCGGTGTAGACACACTGAGAGAGAGACACTTCTCGGTGTAGACACACTGAGAGACACTTCTCGGTGTTAGACACACGAAGAGAGACATTTCTCGTGTAGACACACTGAGAGAAAGAGACACTTCCGGTGTCGACACACTGAGAGAGACGCACTTCTCGTGTAGACACACTGAAGAGACACTTTCCGGTGTAGACACACTGAGAGAGAGACACTTTCTCGGTGTAGACACACTAGAGAGAGACACTTCATCGGTGTAGACACACTGAGAGAGACACTTCTCGTGTAGACACACCTGAGAGAGACCTTCTCGTGTAGACACACTGAGAGAGAGACACTTCTCGGTGTAGACACACTGAGAGAGACACTTCTCGGTGTAGACACACTGAGAGAGACACTTCTCGGTGTAGACACACTGAGAAGAGATCACTTCTCGGAGTAGACACACTGAAACACTTCTCGGTGTAGACACACTGAGAGAGACACTTCTCGTGTAGACCCACTGAGAGAGAGACACATCTCGGTGTAGACACACTGAGAGAGACACTTCTCGTGTAACACACTGAGAGACACTTCTCGGTGTAGACACACTGAGAGAGACACTTCTCGGTGTAGATACACTGAGAGACACTTCTCGGTGTAACACACTGAGAGAAGACACTTCTCGGTGTAGACACACTGAGAGAGAGACACTTCTCGGTGTAGACACACTGAGAGACACTTCTCGGTGTAGACACACTGAGAGAGACACTTCTCGGTGTAGATACACTGAGAGACACTTCTCGGTGTAGACACACTGAGAGAGAGACACTTCTCGGTGTAGACACACTGAGAGACACTTCTCGGTGTAGACACACTGAGAGACACTTCTCGGTGTAGACACACTGAGAGAGACACTTCTCGGTGTAGATACACTGAGAGAGAGACACTTCTCGGTGTAGACACACTGAGAGACACTTCTCGGTGTAGACACACTGAGAGACACTTCTCGGTGTAGACACACTGAGAGACACTTCTCGGTGTAGACACACTGAGAGACACTTCTCGGTGTAGACACACTGAGAGACACTTCTCGGTGTAGACACACTGAGAAGACACTTCTCGGTGTAGACACACTGAGAGACACTTCTCGGTGTAGACACACTGAGAGACACTTCTCGGTGTAGACACACTGAGAGACACTTCTCGGTGTAGACACACTGAGAGAGACACTTCTCGGTGTAGGCACACTGAGAGAGACACTTCTCGATGTAGATACACTGAGAGAGACACTTCTCGGTGTAGGCACACTGAGAGAGACACTTCTCGATGTAGATACACTGAGAGAGACACTTCTCGGTGTAGACACACTGAGAGACACTTCTCGGTGTAGACACACTGAGAGAGACACTTCTCGGTGTAGACACACTGAGAGAGACACTTCTCGGTGTAGACCCACTGAGAGAGACACTTCTCGGTGTAGACCCACTGAGAGAGACACTTCTCGGTGTAGACACACTGAGAGAGACACTTCTCGGTGTAGACACACTGAGAGAGACACACACTCAACAATAAACTTTTTAGCTAGCATATTCTAACAAACTTTATTTCTATAAAGAGGAGTATAGCTTGAGGATGTTTCAGGGGTCAACGCCCCCGCGACCCTGTCTATCACCAGTATATTACACAAATATGGCGACTGTCATAACTCTACATTATAGATCTACATTATAGAGCCTCTCCTGCCAACATATTCTTTATCTAAGACAATCTATCGAGTCTGTCAAGTTCTATTTCTATCACAGATTTATTGGACATCTATTTGGTTCATAATTCACATTTATCGCTCTGTATTTAGTAAAATTTTTCCCCCTTTGTTTTCTTCGAATGAATGAAATCCCTGACCCCTACGGGTTTAGCCCTCACCCCCGATTAAAACCGGTTCAAGACACAATCACAGAAGTCTCCACAACTGTGTAATCTTCTAGTGGTCTTAACATACACGGATTTTCAAATTATTGTGTCAGTCACACATAAGGAGTTAGTGCAATAAACTCACAAGAAACAGCTGATGTCTTAATATGCAAAACAATAATAAAATTCGAAGCGCTTTATTAAATTCCCACGTTATAGTAAAGAATTAGGTATGTGTGCACCATCTGGTATCTTTATTTGTAGACGTTCCGCCATCCCGTGGTTTTATTAATATAATTCAAGGGCAAATGTGAAGAATGTAGAACTAGATACAAAAGATGAGGTAATGAGTCCCTCAGTCTTGGTGTTGGTGAAGAGCATCTTAGTCTTGACGACTCTGAATCACAGGTAGTAACATTGTGGCTTATATAAAATAGTGCTCCTCTGTAATGTGGGAAATCACGAAAACGATTCGAGATTTTTTTTTTTACTGTGGTTGTTATGGCTTATTAGGAACTGAAGTGGTACTGGTTACCTCCCCTCCATGATCAATCTTCATCAACAGTGTGTAAGCTGCTTCGGTCAGGGGTGGCAGCCATCTTCGGTCCGCAGAGTGAAAACACTGCCAACCATGTTCAGTCCATATGTGACGCCATGGAGGTACCTCATATTGAGACTCGGTGGGACTACAAGCTGACCAGAGATGCTTACTCTCTCAACCTGTACCCCTACCCTCCATCACTCAGTAGTGTAAGTTAACCTTGTTTATACGCCAGTAAATTAGGAATGTTGTGTGTGTGTGTGTGTGTGTGTGTGTGTGTGTGTGTGTGTGTGTGTGTGTGTGTGTGTGTGTGTGTGTGTGTGTGTGTGTGTGTGTGTGTATGTGTGCGTGTGTCTGTGTGTGTTTGTGTGTTTGTGTGTGTCTTGTTAGCAGTGGTATTTTATATCCACGTGAACCTTCTTCCTCAGGATGTGACCCACACCCTAGTACTTATGTACTACGCACAACAATCGACTAATACCCAGGTACCTATTTACTGTGAAGGTGAAGTGAAGAGAAACAACCGGTAAAAGGAGACGTACACATACGTCTCACCAATGCTAATTACCAAACTTTTGATGGGGGAGGGAATAAATAGATCCTGGCCCAGTTATTTTTAATATATTCCCGGCATTAATGATTTCTGTTCTCATCGTACCTGCTCTTGAAACGGTGCATGAGGTCTTCCTCCGACACATTCTCATATACATCATTCAATTTCCTTACTACATTAAAACCGAACAAGGTACAATGTGTAGACGGATGGTATGACAGTAGAAATATTGTCCATAACTCCGACTCCCAAAACATACACTTTAATCATGGTTGATCTGCAGTTTGTGAAGGAAAATTTACACGACATTTCGAGATCATCTTAGACCATTATCAATAAAGATATTAGTCTAGAAACCCTTTTCAAGTTGTTGAGTGGTTGTCAAGTGTCGCAGCCTCGGTATCATAACTTATATTCTTCCTTCACTCCATGTGTCCACGCAGGCCTACCGCGACATATTGATGAAGCTCAAGTGGAAGAACTTCGTGATCCTTTACGACAGTAACGAGGGTCTGGTGCGCCTCCAGAACCTCCTGAAGGAGAAGACATGGACGGTGACGGTGAGACAACTCCCCGACAATTCCGATTACAGGTAGCTCTTTTGACGTCGTATAAACACAATCCTTTACATCACAGATTTTGAACTCAGCAAGTGTAAAACTCTCTACGAGATTCTTTCAAACAATTACGAAGACGAAGAACAAGACACATGTGCAACATCTAGGTATCTTTATTTCTAGAAGTTTCACCATCTAGTGGCATTATCAATACAAATTCAAGGACAAAATGGGAATATTGTAGGACTATTTACAAACAATGAGGTAATCAGTCCCTCAGTCTTGGTGTTAGTGAAGACCACCGTAATCTTTAAGACCAAGTATTAAATTAAGTCTTTATCATACTGGCTTTTGTGTTGTGTTGGTCTTAAAACACGTCCTAAAATGTCCCTCCCTCTCACCAAGTTCTACCTCACCCTGCCTCCCTGTCTCCCTGTGCTGGATCTCCCTGCCTCCCTGTGCTGACTCTCCCTGCCTCCCTGTGCTGCCTCTCCCTGCCTCCCTGTGCTGCCTCTCCCTGCCTCCCTGTGCTGACTCTACCTGCCTCCCTGTACTGCCTCTCCCTGCCTCCATGTGCAGCCTCTCTCTGCCTCCCTGTGCTGCCTCTTCCTGCCTCCATGTGCTGCCTCTCCCTGCCTCCCTGTGCTGACTCTCCCTGCCTCCCTGTGCTGCCTCTCCCTGCCTCCCTGTGCTGCCTCTCCCTGCCTCCTAGTGCTGCCTCTCCCTGCCTCCCTGTGCTGCCTCTCCCTGCCCCCCTGTGCTGACTCTCCCTGCCTCCCTGTGCTGCCTCTCCCTGCCTCCCTGTGCTGACTCTCCCTGCCTCCCTGTGCTGCCTCTCCCTGCCTCCCTGTGCTGACTCTCCCTGCCTCCCTGTACTACATTTCCCTTCCTTCATGTGCTAAATCTCCCTGCCTTCCTGTGCTAAATCTCCCTGCCTTTCTGTGCTACATCTCCCTGCCTTCCTGTGCTAAATCTCCCTGCCTTCCTGTGCTACATCTTCCTGCCTTCCTGTGCTAAATCTCCCTGCCTTCCTGTGCTAAATCTCCCTGCCTTTCTGTGCTACATCTCCCTGCCTTTCTGTGCTAAATCTCCCTCCCTTTCTGTGGTACATCTCCCTGCCTTCCTGTGCTAAATCTCCCTGCCTTTCTGTGGTACATCTCCCTGCCTTCCTGTGCTAAATCTCCCTGCCTTGCTGTGCTACATCTTCCTGCCTTCCTGTGCTACATCTTCCTGCCTTCCTGTGCTACATCTCCCTGCCTTCCTGTGCTAAATCTCCCTGCCTTCCTGTGCTACATCTCCCTGCCTTGCTGTGCTACATCTTCCTGCCTTCCTGTGCTACATCTCCCTGCCTTCCTGTGGTACATCTCCCTGCCTTCCTGTGCTACATCTCCCTGCCTTCCTGTATTACATCTCCCTGCCTTGCTGTGCTACATCTCCCTGCCTTGCTGTGCTACATCTCCCTGCCTTCCTGTGCTACATCTCCCTGCCTTCCTGTATTACATCTCCCTGCCTTGCTGTGCTACATCTCTCTGCCTTGCTGTGCTACATCTCCCTGCCTTCCTGTGCTACATCTTCCTGCCTTGCTGTGCTACATCTCCCTGCCTTCCTGTGCTACATCTCCCTGCCTTCCTGTATTACATCTCCCTGCCTTGCTGTGCTACATCTTTCTGCCTTGCTGTGCTACATCTCCCTGCCTTGTTGTGCTACATCTCCCTGCCTTGCTGTGCTACATCTCTCTGCCTTGCTGTGCTACATCTTCCTGCCTTCCTGTGCTACATCTCCCTGCCTTGCTGTGCTACATCTCCCTGCCTTCCTGTGCTACATCTCCCTGCCTTGCTGTGCTACATCTCCCTGCCTTCCTGTGCTACATCTTCCTGCCTTCCTGTGCTACATCTCTCTGCCTTCCTGTGCTACATCTCCCTGCCTTGCTGTGCTACATCTCTCTGCCTTGCTGTGCTACATCTCTCTGCCTTGCTGTGCTACATCTTCCTGCCTTGCTGTGCTACATCTTCCTGCCTTCCTGTGCTACATCTCCCTGCCTTGCTGTGCTACATCTCCCTGCCTTGCTGTGCTACATCTCTCTGCCTTGCTGTGCTACATCTTCCTGCCTTGCTGTGCTACATCTCCCTGCCTTGCTGTGCTACATCTCCCTGCCTTGCTGTGCTACATCTCTCTGCCTTGCTGTGCTACATCTCCCTGCCTTCCTGTGCTACATCTCCCTGCCTTGCTGTGCTACATCTTCCTGCCTTCCTGTGCTACATCTTCCTGCCTTGCTGTGCTACATCTCCCTGCCTTGCTGTGCTACATCTCTCTGCCTTGCTGTGCTACATCTTCCTGCCTTCCTGTGCTACATCTTCCTGCCTTCCTGTACTACATCTTCCTGCCTTGCTGTGCTACATCTTCCTGCCTTCCTGTGCTACATCTTCCTGCCTTGCTGTGCTACATCTCCCTGCCTTCCTGTGCTACATCTCCCTGCCTTGCTGTGCTACATCTTCCTGCCTTGCTGTGCTACATCTTCCTGCCTTGCTGTGCTACATCTTCCTGCCTTGCTGTGCTACATCTTCCTGCCTTCCTGTACTACATCTTCCTGCCTTGCTGTGCTACATCTTCCTGCCTTCCTGTGCTACATCTTCCTGCCTTGCTGTGCTACATCTCCCTGCCTTCCTGTGCTACATCTCCCTGCCTTCCTGTGCTACATCTTCCTGCCTTGCTGTGCTACATCTTCCTGCCTTCCTGTACTACATCTCCCTGCCTTCCTGTGCTACATCTTCCTGCCTTCCTGTGCTACATCTTCCTGCCTTCCTGTGCTACATCTCCCTGCCTTCCTGTGCTACATCTCCCTGCCTCGCTGTGCTACATCTTCCTGCCTTCCTGTGCTACATCTTCCTGCCTTCCTGTGCTACATCTTCCTGCCTTCCTGTGCTACATCTCCCTGCCTTCCTGTGCTACATCTCCCTGCCTTGCTGTGCTACATCTCCCTGCCTTCCTGTGCTACATCTCCCTGCCTTCCTGTGCTACATCTCCCTGCCTTGCTGTGCTACATCTCTCTGCCTTGCTGTGCTACATCTCCCTGCCTTCCTGTGCTACATCTCCCTGCCTTCCTGTGCTACATCTCCCTGCCTTGCTGTGCTACATCTTCCTGCCTTCCTGTGCTACATCTCCCTGCCTTCCTGTATTACATCTCCCTGCCTTCCTGTGCTACATCTCCCTGCCTTCCTGTGCTACATCTCCCTGCCTTCCTGTACTATATCTTCCTGCCTTCCTGTACTATATCTTCCTGCCTTCCTGTGCTACATCTCCCTGCCTTCCTGTGCTACATCTTCCTGCCTTCCTGTGCTACATCTTCCTGCCTTCCTGTGCTACATCTTCCTGCCTTCCTGTGCTACATCTTCCTGCCTTCCTGTGCTATATCTTCCTGACTTCCTGTGCTACATCTTCCTGCCTTCCTGTGCTATATCTTCCTGACTTCCTGTGCTACATCTCCCTGCCTTCCTGTGCTACATCTTCCTGCCTTCCTGTGCTACATCTTCCTGCCTTCCTGTGCTATATCTTCCTGCCTTCCTGTGCTACATCTTCCTGCCTTCCTGTACTATATCTTCCTGCCTTCCTGTACTATATCTTCCTGCCTTCCTGTACTATATCTTCCTGCCTTCCTGTGCTACATCTCCCTGCCTTCCTGTGCTACATCTTCCTGCCTTCCTGTGCTACATCTTCCTGCCTTCCTGTGCTACATCTTCCTGCCTTCCTGTGCTACATCTTCCTGCCTTCCTGTGCTATATCTTCCTGACTTCCTGTGCTACATCTTCCTGCCTTCCTGTGCTATATCTTCCTGACTTCCTGTGCTACATCTCCCTGCCTTCCTGTGCTACATCTTCCTGCCTTCCTGTGCTACATCTTCCTGCCTTCCTGTGCTATATCTTCCTGCCTTCCTGTGCTACATCTTCCTGCCTTCCTGTACTATATCTTCCTGCCTTCCTGTACTATATCTTCCTGCCTTCCTGTACTATATCTTCCTGCCTTCCTGTGCTACATCTTCCTGCCTTCCTGTACTATATCTTCCTGCCTTCCTGTACTACATCTTCCTGCCTTCCTGTGCTACATCTCCTTGCCTTCCTGTGCTACATCTTCCTGCCTTCCTGTGCTACATCTCCCTGCCTTCCTGTGCTACATCTCCCTGCCTTCCTGTGCTACATCTCCCTGCCTTCCTGTACTATATCTTCCTGCCTTCCTGTACTATATCTTCCTGACTTCCTGTACTACATCTTCCTGCCTTCCTGTACTAAATCTTCCTGCCTTCCTGTGCTACATCTTCCTGCCTTCCTGTGCTACATCTTCCTGCCTTCCTGTACTAAATCTTCCTGCCTTCCTGTACTACATCTTCCTGCCTTCCTGTGCTACATCTCCTTGCCTTCCTGTGCTACATCTTCCTGCCTTCCTGTGCTACATCTTCCTGCCTTCCTGTGCTAAATCTTCCTGCCTTCCTGTACATCTTCCTGCCTTCCTGTGCTACATCTCCTTGCCTTCCTGTGCTAAATCTTCCTGCCTTCCTGTACTACATCTTCCAGCCTTCCTGTACTACATCTTCCTGCCTTGCTGTACTACAGGCCACTCTTGAAGGAGATACGTCGCTCGCAGGCTACTCACATCGTGCTGGACGTAGCGCCGGAGAAGATATACGATGTGTTAGACCAAGCTCTGCAGGTCCATCTGATGAGTGACTACCATAACTACTTCATCACCTCCCTGGTTAGTGCTGCCTCACTCATAATGATAGAAAATACCAACACCATGGAAAAATAAACACAAATGTATTAATATACAATGCTTTAATGACCACGTTTCGCCCACACAGTGGTCTTTATAAAGTTAGAAACAGATCTAACTTAGTAAATTGATTGACTGACTGATTTAATTATCAGGAACTGTGTCCTGACAATTATTATAATCAAAGAAAGCGCTAAACCAACAAGGGTCATACAGTGTGTCCTGACAAGGGTCTTAATTCTAAAATGACCTGACTGAGGATCACTAAGATGTTGATCTAATTCAGTTGTTCCGTGGCCGCGATCAGGTTCTTGTTGTCGTTCCTTGTGGCAAAACATTTTACGTACTACAATTGACTGACGCCATCAGGGGCCCCCATCACTGGCTCTGCAAATAAACGCATGGACTCTGTTTTGTCCATCATGCACATGTTCACGAAAGTCCTCACGATAGTTTTGAATATCTCTGTTTTCTTCTGTGAGGTCGCATATAATATCGGTGAAGGTGATTGTCAACATCATTTGTTGGCTCAGAGGTAATATGTGATGTCCTGGTCTGCTCTCTTGGACTACAATGTTCCTAACTGGTGACCGTTGTACTGTTAGGGTTGACGCGTTGGCTATAGCCTGTTCCTGTAGCATGGGGCTTGCTGGCTGCCGTTGTCGGGTGGGAGCTTGAGCAGAAGCGTCAGAAGCTGGCGCGACCCCGTACCTGATGCTTCCTCGGCTTCCTTCGTCGCTGTGGCCAGGAAAGTCGCCCTGGATTCCGTGTTGCTGTAGCCTCCTCTGGACGAGGCCCTCTGCTCAGTGGTGAGGGCTCTATCTGATGCTGGAGGCTGAACAACAAGAGTTTTCCACGCTGCCTTGACACGGCGGAGCCTCTCGGGCGGTGCAGGTTCCAAGCATGATGAAGATTGAGACACTTATGCAACATATGGGAATCTTTATTAAGGAAACGTTTCACCACACAGTGGCTTCATCATTCCAATACAAAGCAGAAATGGGTAAGGAGAGGAGGAGTTTGAGGTAATCAGTCCCTCAGCCTGGAATCGATGTGTTCACACCATCTTTTGTAGAAAGTCAGAACACATCGATTCCAGGTTGAGGGACTGATTACCTCAAACTCCTCCTCTCCTTACCCATTTCTACTTTGTATTGGACTGATGAAGCCACTGTGTGGCGAAACGTTTCTTTAATAAAGATTCCCATATGTTGCACAAGTGTCTCAATCTTCAACTTGTCGGTTGCATAGCCATTTATTATATTCAAGCATGATGTTTCTTGCCGCAGGCCGGACATCGAGGTTCCGTAGCTTCATCTCTCTTCAGTTTACCCAAGCAGTTCTTGGTTTGGCGAGACCCGCAACAGATGCCGCATATTTCCTTAAACTGACATCGGGCGCTGAGGTGGTTGTACCTCTGGTACCTAAATCACCTCCAAGGTTCTGGGGTGTACGTCCTAACCTGGTATTTTCCCCAGCATTGAGATCCAGTGTTGCTGGGAGAGGTCCTCTATGATGAATCAAGACCTGCCTCGTAGGTACGTTGCCGTCCTTCTTGGCTCGGAACCGTTCAACTTTCAGGATGTTTTTGTTGCTATGGATTGCAAAGAGAGGCATGTCTAGTGGATAGCGCATCAGTACGCCTTTTGTTACCAGCTCTATTTTTTTTAGTTCTGCTAAAACAAGTGGCGACTCGAGGTCGTTCACCTTCTGCAATACCTCATAAGACTTTGTGTTTCGGGAAGTGAGAATAAATTCCCCTTTCAGACTTGACACTGATACCGTCAGGCCGTATTTCTTCTCAGGGTGAATTATAGCATTATACTGGGTGTGCCTACCAACGTTAATTTTTTGCCTCAGGATGGCTTGGTTTGCCCGATCTCTGGCAAGGAAACAGTGTCTCCTCTGGGACTTCGGGGCTCCTGCTACCTGCCAGCCTTCTTCATCCAGTATATCTGGGGATGAGCGTTTCTTGATCCATCTCTATTTCACTGGCCCGGCTGGTTTCGCTTGCTTCGCTGTCCCAGGAGTCCAGTGAGTGGTCGTCTCGCAGCTTATTCGCCAGAAATGCTTCCCACATTTCTAAATCCGAGTCCTTGGAACATCCGTGACCTGTTCATTTCGGAAGAAGTCATGTTCTTCCGTGCCGTCTCGTGACTCTCCACCGAAATATGTGTGTGTGTGTGTGCGCGCGCGCAGGTTTCTCTCAAATTCAACTTACCCAACATTCTCCACCTGACTACACACTATATATACTAATGAACTCTTTACCCAGGTAGATCTGTTTGTGACTTGATAAAACCTACTGTGTGGGTGAAACGTTGTCAATAAAGGCTCGCATTATACTGCCACCTCCCTAGTTAGTACCACCTCCCTGGATAGTACCATCTCCCTGGTTAGTACCACCTCCCTGGTTAGTACCACCTCCCTGGTTAGTGTCACCTCTCTGACCGGTGTTCTCACTGGGCTCAGTACTCACCTTCATATGGTTGCAGGGGTCGAGTCACACCTCCATAACCATCTTTAGCTATTGGCATATCTTCAGTATTATATGATACTGGTTTTTAAAACCAAATGTTGACCAATTACTTACTGATAAGGGGATTAAAATCAATCTCCTTTAGTGTATTACATTAGCCTCGATAGTAATTATGTCAGCTGACTTTTCTATATATGAGAGAGAGAGAGAGAGAGAGAGAGAGAGAGAGAGAGAGAGAGAGAGAGAGAGAGAGAGAGAGAGACAGACAGACAGACAGACAGAGACAGACAGAGAGAGAGACAGAGAGAGAGAGAGAGAGAGAGTTTAGCCACCCAAGATAACCCATAAAAATCAGTGCGTCATCGAGGACCGTCTGTCTTATTTCCATTGTGGTCCTGACATTCTGTTTCTTCGGCAGGACTTCAACCAGGTAGACCTGGAGAAATTTAGTCACTCACGAACCAACATCACCGGAGTGCAGTTAGTTGACCCACAGAAGCCAGCAGTGGAGCAAGTTGTTGAAGAATGGATGTACGGTGAACAACGCTACGGTCGCCTCCTCCCGGCCCATCTCAAGCGTGTCACGGTGGGTTGGGGTGGGTGGTGGATTAAGTTGTGGTGGGTTGATTTGGGGTGGGGAAGAAGGGCCAAAAATCACTCCTGTTGCAAGTTATGCTTGAGCAGTGTTTTAAACATCCGCTGATAGAGAAATATTGCAGTTGTCTCTTGTATCTTACCTGTGGCACAGTCTGAGATCCTCCATTATGTGTTGTACAGACTGAAGTTACTCATGTATTGCACAGACTGACGTTACTCTTATGTGGCACAGACTGAAGTTACTCATGTATTGCACAGACTGACGTTACTCTTATGTGGCACAGACTGAAGTTACTCTTGTGTTGCACAGACTGACGTTACTCTTATGTGGCACAGACTGAAGTTACTCATGTATTGCACAGACTGACGTTACTCTTATGTGGCACAGACTGAAGTTACTCTTGTGTTGCACAGACTGACGTTACTCTTATGTGGCACAGACTGAAGTTACTCACGTATTGCACAGACTGACGTTACTCTTATGTGGCACAGACTGAAGTTACTCTTGTGTTGCACAGACTGACGTTACTCTTATGTGGCACAGACTGAAGTTACTCTTGTGTTGCACAGACTGACGTTACTCTATGTGGGACAGACTGAGTTACTCACGTATTGCACAGACTGACGTACTCTTATGTGGCACAGACTGAAGTTACTCTTGTGTTGCACAGACTGAAGTTACTCTTGTGTTGCACAGACTGAAGTTACTATTGTGTTGCACAGACGGAGGCGGCTCTCATGTACGACGCTGTTACACTCTTCGCCAAGGCTCTTGACGACCTCGACAACTCCCACCAAGTAGACATCGACAAACTGTACTGTGAGGGTGACAAGACCTGGCAACATGGCAACTCCCTCATCAACTTCATGAAGTGGGTAAGTCAGATGACCATCTGTGTCCAGCTGAAGATCTGTGTCCAGCGGGTAACATGTGTCCAACTGGTGACATATGTCCAACTGGCGACCTGTGTCCAGCTAGCGACCTGTGTCCAGCTGGAGATCTGTGTCCAGCTAGTGACCTGTGTCCAGCTGGAGATCTGAGTCCAGCTGACGACCTGTGTCCAGCTAGTGACCTGTGTCCAGCTGGAGATCTGTGTCCAGCTAGTGACCTGTGTCCAGCTGGAGATCTGAGTCCAGCTGACGACCTGTGTCCAGCTAGTGACCTGTGTCCAGCTGGAGATCTATGTCTAGGTGGCGACCTGTGTCCAGCTGGCGACCTGTGTCCAGCTGGCGACCTGTGTCCAGCTGGCGACCTGTGTCCAGCTGGCGACCTGTGTCCAGCTAGCGACCTGTGTCCAGCTGGCGACCTGTGTTCTGTGTCTACATGACAACTCTATAAACACAAAAAGTTCAAAACTTATGATTTTAAAACTCTTAATACTTTCAAACTCTAAAATCTCAAAATCTAAATATTCTAAAGAGAATATTCCGACTCTATAAATCTAAAATTTAAAAACTCTATAAAATCTAAAAAATAAAAAATAAAAAATTATTAAACCTCTTTAGGTTTTAACTCTCATACAAGCCATTATAGCAGGCGAAGGGCTCATGATCCAAGGAATATGAGCTACTCTCCCCTTCCTCGGATCGAACATGATTACGCTCCCCATTTCACAGTCTCAGTAAGACCTTTAAGAATATAATAACAATAATAACCACTATAATAATAATAATAATAATAATAATAATAATAATAATAATAATAATAATATTAATAATATTTTATGCAGTATGGATCTCGACCATACACCTCGAATGACGGGAGGCGGCGGAGCAGAGCTTACACCGCCGTCACCAACTTCACACAGATGGAACAGATCCAGGTGTTCGGCCTCACGGGACTCATCAAATTCGACACCGCGGGCTTCAGATCCGAGTTCCAGCTGGACATTCTCGAGACAGACCCGAGAGAGATTTTGAAGAAGGTGAGACTGGCCCAGAGTGTCCAAGAGATGGACTGGGAGATGCTAAAGATGCTGAGAATAGCATAAATTGTCTTTGTTTATCTGAAAAAGGTTTCGTGAGGGAAGGTCAGCGCCCCCTCAACGGGGCCTTGTCTCTGACCAGGGCTCCTGAATATATGGGGTACGAATACGTACCCCACGCCAGGTGAAAGGCTACAGGCACGTAGGAAGGTAAGCAGGTATAATGGCAGGGAGACAGGAAGGTAAGTAGGTAGAATGAATAGTCTGCGGACAGGAAGGTAAGTAGGTAGAATGGTAGGGAGACAGGAAATTGACAACGTAAACATAGGGGGACAAGAAATTGACAACGTAAACATAGGGGGACAAGAAAGTGACAACGTAGACATAGGGGGACAAGAAAGTGACAACGTAGACATAGAGAGACAAGAAAGTGACAACGTAGACATAGTGAGACAAGAAAGTGACAACGTAGAGATAGGGAGACAAGAAAGTGACAACGTAGACATAGGGAGACAAGAAAGTGACAACGTAGACAAATCAACAGTTAAGTACATAGGTTAGTAAGCAGGTAGAGGGGTGCATAAAGCAGACATAAGGGAAAGGAGATTATTAGCTTACTGGTGAGCATATAAGCAGGCAGGAGTAGGTATCCTCTGAGGATGAGCTCACCAAAAAATGCACTTAGGAGACGAACCTCACGACGACGTTTCGGTCTGTCCTATACCATTGGTAAGTCAACTGTTGTTTCTTGACAATGGTCCAGGATGGACCGAAACGTCATCATAAGATTCTACTAAGTGCAGGTTTATGGTGAACTGTTTCAGTCACGGTATTGTGCCTTCTTATTCTTCAAGGTGAATGACAGAGGTAAACAAACTTTTAATATCACGTTTTATCTCTGTGTGCTGAATTTTTCACACTCTTCCTGTAAAAAAGAAACGTGTTTCTTGGAGCACAAGAGAAATACATTAACCTGCTATAGCAGTACCCTGGGTGACCTCTGGCCTTCTTTAACCCGAGGTGGGGACGTGGACCAATCAAGGCGGTGCTAACTACACCAGGACCTGGGCGGAACTTGTCGACGCTTTAGAACTCAACCTTCAGAACAGGACACTCATCGTCTCCACAGCCATGGTAAGTGTGCTCACCTATTTGTGATTGCAGGGGTCGAGTTGTAGCTCCTGCCCCCGCCTCTTCGCTTTGTGTGTGTGTGTGTGTGTGTGTGTGTGTGTGTGTGTGTGTGTGTGTGTGTGTGTGTGTGTGTGTGTGTGTGTATGTGTGTGTATGTGTGTGTGTGTGTGTGTGTGTGTGTGTGTGTGTGTGTGTGTGTGTGTGTGTGTGTGTGTGTGTGTGTGTGTGTGTGTGTGTGTGTGTGTGTGGGTGTGCGTCTGTGTGTGTCAGGAAAGATTTGGAGAGGAAATTTTAAGGTGTTAGCCTTTTAGCCCTGATAGTGTTCAGCCTCTTAGCCTTGCTTTATCTAAAGCAGAGGTATAAGGATGGAGGCTAATATTCTAGAGCCAGAGGAAAAGTGCAGCAGCTGGAGATGGCATCACAGGTGGGCTGTGGAAGCAACTCATGCTCATAAGTTGGGCTAGTGGTTCGCAAAAGAGTTGCGAAGAGTATTAAAGTGATAATAGCTTGCTGTGCAGGCGAAACCTCTCACCAATGTAGACACCTGAGCAATGCGTATGAGTCTTATTCATCAACTTGTCGGTACAATGAGTAAGACACATGCAACACTAGGTATCTTTATTGATGAAACATTTCACTTGCGGTGCAGGCTTCAAGAGTCAAATACAGGTATGAATTACAGTCCTGGAGACAGTAGACGTTGTCGAGAGGAAACCTGAGGTACTCAGTCCCTCAGCCTTGTTGGCACTGCCTACTATTAATGTAACCAACCTCCTGCTACAGACGCCGCCCTACACGATGCTGAAGGAGTCATCAGAGCACCTCAAGGGAAACGACCGCTACGAGGGCTTCTGCTTCGACCTCATCCACGAGATAGCACTCATCCGAGGCTTCAACTACACCTTCCGGGAGGTGGCTGACGGCAACTACGGCAGTAAGGACAGAAACACTGGAGAGTGGGACGGTATCGTCAGGGAACTTCTCGATCATGTACGCATCAACATATTAATACCGAGGCCCTGTGACCTCCACTAGTTAAGACCTTCTCTATGAATATACTACTACTACGACCACTACAACTACTATCACTTCTACTATGACCACTACAACTATTACTTTTACTACTCCTACCACTACTACTACTAATACTACTACCACCATTGCCACTACTCTACTAATACTACTTTTCTACTACTATTACTGTTTTGTTAATGGGAGGTTAAAGACTATCGACTACACTGGGGTCATGTTTATGTGCAAATGAACATTAAAAAAAAAACAAAGGCTAGAAATCATCTTGATGTCAGTGATGACATGTGTCTGGCTATATATAAAGACCAACCTGGTAACAACATTAATGAACCTTAACAACAAAGAGCCACTAAATAAAACATGCTTTAATGCTCATAAGTGAACGTATGAAAGTTCTCATACAGAAGTGTCAATGATCTACTTCACTTCTATATATTTTTTTTTTTTTGCAGTAAAGATTGAGAGTTCTTCCGAAGGAAATTAAAGCTTCAAATACATATAGATTTTGGTAAATGACATTAGAACGACCAAAGCTTTTTCTGCTAACTGTGAGAATGTTATGAGTTGTGCACATCAGAAGTTTTCTACCCTCTGATTTAAATCCCATTTGGATTCCTTCATTAGCTTCCAGTTCAACACTATCAGCCTTCATCATAACATCCATGGAATAACCTCGGATACACTGAATTAATTCCTGTAAATGACGTTTCACTTCACTCAGGCTGGGCAGTTCCTTTTCTCGCACCAGCAGCCTCATCGAGTGAAAGAAAATGAGCAAAATTTCCATTCTGAATGAGATTTATCTAAACTGGAAGTTTTTGGTGAACAACATCGGACGTGTTTCCTTACACTGGTTGTCTATGTTCACCCATCAGTAAAATGGGTACCTGGGTGTTAGTCGACTGGTGTGGGTCGCATCCTGGGACAAAACTGACCTAATTTTCCCGAAATGCTCTGCATAACAAGCTAGGCCTGTATACCTTGTACATGTACTTGTAGTAAATAAAGATATTATTATTATTATTATTATTATTATTATTATTATTATTATTATTATTATTATTATTATTATTATTATTACTGTTATTATTATTATTAAGGCTGACAAGTTTTCACTGGTAGTGGTCAGAGTCAATCAAGTTCCTTGGAGAGAAGTGTTCACCTGGTGCAGTTCAACCTCGTACCTTCAGCTTTGCTCTTCGTGTACCACCAAGAAGTGCAGGAAGTGCTACTTAACCCATGGTTAAGTAGCACTATTCTAAGTTTAACAGTCCACTGAGGAAGGTAAATGGTTAACAAAAAATAATTCTAATGCTTCGTTACTTGTCATTAGAGTTCCATTATCTGGTCTGGTCCGGTGGACAGGCTGAAGGCTTCCTTACTATTGTTAAATTAAACTAATGAAAAGAGTCATTAGAAGAAAAATGTTTGTATTTGTCTGGAACTTGTTTCTCACAGAAAGCCGATCTGGGCATCGTGGATTTCACCATAACATATGAACGAGAGGAAGCAGTGGACTTCAGTATGCCCTTCATGAACTTGGGTAAGTACCAACAAATCCTCCTGTGTTAAAAGACTGGACTGGTTCTCCTGTTTTTTGAAGTGATCGCAGTTGTATGAAACAGAATTGAATAAAATTCTGTATGGAATCATTGCTTAGTAAGGAATGGATAAAGCTGTATATTTTATACTGATCTACTTTGATTTATTCATCTACATTCTCCTATATGACATACAACTATAAATTAATGTTACTACAGGAATAAATGTGTCACCAAGATAACAAGAAACCTATGTAAGTCTGTAACTGGGCAAATAATCATAAATGACAGACCATTTGCAACACTTATCCACATGATTCCCTTCTACAGGTATTAGTATTATCTACAAGAAACCACAGAAAAAATCTCCAAGCTTGTTCTCATTTATGTCGCCATTTTCTGTCGATGTCTGGATATACATGGCTACTGCCTACCTGGGAGTCTCTGTCCTGCTCTTTATCCTTGCCAGGTAAGACATTCATACACACACACGCACGCACATTATAAATATATATATATATATATATATATATATATATATTATATATATTTTATATATATTATATATATATTATTATATATATATTTGTATAATATTATTAATTTATTTTCCAGATGGAAGAATATTTGATAAATATCTCAGCCTTCACTTTGCAAATTTTATTTGTCATTCAAGGAATGTTCTGCTATTTTATAGTACTTTTGGTCATAAAAAAACACATTTTAATTTTTTTTTTTACATTTTTAGCTACGTTAAATTTGGTTAGGTTAACATGTACAAGGACAGCTTAACATGTACAAGGACAGCTTAACATGTACAAGAACAGCTTAACATGTACAAGGACAGCTTAACATGTACAAGGACAGCTTAACATGTACAAAGACAGCTTAACATGTACAAGGACAGCTTAACATGTACAAGGACAGCTTAACGAACTCTAACACACCTTAATGCCAATACATATAAAAACACATTAAGGAGACAGAAAATGTTGATGTGTTAACAGAGGCGGAGATCCAGACAATTCCCGTATCAGAGTCACTGTTTCACTTCAGAGTCACAGTCATACATCTGACTGTCTGAGACACAGTTAACTACACACTCTGTATAGCACGACGGGACGAAAATAAGTGTATAGTTCAACCAATTTTCTTAAGTTCTTACAGACGGACGTGTGACTGTGACTCCAGAGTGAAACACTGAGTATGTTGCCACGAGTGAAACACTGAGTATGTTGCCACGAGTGAAACACTGAGTATGTTGCCACGAGTGAAACACTGAGTATGTTGCCACGAGTGAAACACTGAGTATGTTGCCACGAGTGAAACACTGAGTATGTTGCCACGAGTGAAACACTGAGTATGTTGCCACGAGTGAAACACTGAGTATGTTGCCACGAGTGAAACACTGAGTATGTTGCCAGAGTGGAAACATGAGTATGTTGCCACGAGTGAAACACTGAGTATGTTGCCACGAGTGAAACACTGAGTTTTGTTGCCACGAGTGAAACACTGAGTATGTTGCCACGAGTGAACATGAGTATGTTGCCACGAGTGAAACAAATGAGTATGTTGCCACGAGTGAAACACTGAGTATGTTTGCCACGAGTGAAAACTGAGTTGTTGCACGAGTGAAACACTGAGTATGTTACCACGAGTGAAACACTGAGTATGTTGCCACGAGTGGGAAAAACTTTAGTATGTTTTCCACGAGTGAAACACTGAGTATGTTGCCACGAGTGAAACACTGAGTATGTTGCACGAGTGAAAACATGAGTATGTTGCAGAGTGTGAAACACTGAGTATGTTGCCACGAGTGAAACACTGAGTATGTTACCACGAGTGAAACACTGAGTATGTTGCCACGAGTGAAACACTGAGTATGTTGCCACGAGTGAAACACTGAGTATGTTGCCACGAGTGAAACACTGAGTTTGTTACCAGAGTGAAAACACTGAGTATGTTGCCACGAGTGAAAAAAATGAGTATGTTACACGAGTTTAAACACTATGTTGCCACGAGTGAAAAAACTGAGTATGTTGCCACGAGTGAAACACTGAGTATGTTGCCACGAGTGAAACACTGAGTATGTTGCCACGAGTGAAACACTGAGTATGTTACCAAGAGTGAAACACTATGTTGCCACGAGTGAAACACTGAGTATGTTGCCACGAGTGAAACACTGAGTATGTTGCCACGAGTGAAACACTGAGTATGTTGCCACGAGTGAAACACTGAGTATGTTGCCACGAGTGAAACACTGAGTATGTTGCCACGAGTGAAACAGTGAATATACTGCCACGAGTGAAACAGTGAATATGTTGCCACGAGTGAAACAGTGAATATGTCGCCACGAGTGAAACAGTGAATATACTGCCACGAGTGAAACAGTGAGTATGTTGCCACGAGCGAAACAGTGAATATGTTGCCACGAGTGAAACAGTGAATATGTTGCCACGAGTGAAACAGTGAATATGTTGCCACGAGTGAAACAGTGAATATGTTGTCACGAGTGAAACAGTATGTTAACAGTAGTGTGAAACAGTATGTTAACAGTAGTGTGAAACAGTATGTTAACAGCAGTGTGAAGCAGTATGTTAACAGCAGTGTAAAACAGTATGTTAACAGTAGTGTGAAACAGTATGTTAACAGTAGTGTGAAACAGTATGTTAACAGTAGTGTGAAACAGTATGTTAACAGTAGTGTGAAAGAGTATGTTAACAGCAGTGTGAAACAGTATGTTAACAGCACTGTGAAACAGTATGTTAACAGTAGTGTGAAACAGTATGTTAACAGTAGTGTGAAACAGTATGTTAACAGTAGGGTGAAACAGTATGTTTAACGTAGGGAAGCAGTATGTTAACAGTAGTGTGAAGCACTATGTTAACAGTAGTGTGAAACAGTATGTTAACAGCAGTGTGAAACAGTATGTTAACAGCAGTGTGAAACAGTATGTTAACAGTAGTGTGAAACAGTATGTTAACAGTAGTGTGAAAGAGTATGTTAACAGTAGTGTGAAACAGTATGTTAACAGTAGTGTGAAACAGTATGTTAATAGTAGTGTGAAACAGTATGTTTAACCCGCAGTGTGAAAGTATGTTAACAGTAGTGTGAAACAGTATGTTAACAGTAGTGTGAAAGTATGTTTCAGTAGTGTGAAACAGTATGTTAACGCAGTGTGAAAGAGTATGTTGACAGTAGTGTGAAACAGTATGTTAAAAGTAGTGTGAAACAGTATGTTAACAGCAGTGTGAAACAGTATGTTAACATCAGTGTGAAACAGTTATGTTAACAGTAGTGTGAAACGTATGTTAACAGTAGTGTGAAACAGTATGTTAACGCAGTGTGAAACAGTATGTTAAAAGCAGTGTGAAACGGTATGTTAACAGCAGTGTGAAACAGTATGTTAACAGTAGTGTGAAACAGTATGTTAACAGTAGTGGGAAACAGTATGTTAACAGTAGTGTGAAACAGTATGTTAACAGCAGTGTGAAACAGTATGTTAAAAGTAGTGTGAAACAGTACGTTACAGCAGTGTGAAAAAAGTATGTTTAAAAGTAGTGTGAACAGTATGTTAACAGCAGTGGTGAAACAAATATGTTAACAGCAGTTTTGAAAAAAGTATGTTAACAGTAGTGTGAAAAAAGTATGTTTAAAAGTAGTGTGAAACAGTATGTTAACAGCAGTGTGAAACAGTATGTTAACAGCAGTGTGAAACAGTATGTTAACAGTAGTGTGAAACAGTATGTTAACAGTAGTGTGAAACAATATGTTAACAGCAGTGTGAAACAGTATGTTAACAGTAGTGTGAAACAGTATGTTAACAGTAGTGTGAAACAATATGTTAACAGTAGTGTGAAACAGTATGTTAACAGTAGTGTGAAACAGTATGTTAACAGTAGTGTGAAACAGTATGTTAACAGTAGTGTGAAACAGTATGTTAACAGTAGTGTGAAACAGTATGTTAACAGTAGTGTGAAACAGTATGTTAACAGCAGTGTGAAAGAGTATGTTAACAGTAGTGTGAAACAGTATGTTAACAGTAGTGTGAAACAGTATGTTAACAGCAGTGTGAAACAGTATGTTAACAGCAGTGTGAAACTAGTATGTTAACAGTAGTGTGAAACAGTATGTTTAACAGTAGGGGTGAAACAGTATGTTAAAAAGTAGTGTGAAACAGTATGTTAACAGCAGTGTAAAAGAGTATGTTTTACAGTAGTGTGAAACAGTATGTTAAAAGTAGTGTGAAACAGTATGTTAACAGCAGTGTGAAACAGTATGTTAACAGCAGTGTGAAACAGTATGTTAACAGTAGTGTGAAACAGTATGTTAACAGTAGTGTGAAACAGTATGTTAACAGCAGTGTGAAACAGTATGTTAAAGGCAGTGTGAAACGGTAATGTTAACAGCAGTGTGAACAGTATGTTAACAGTAGTGTGAAACAGTATGTTAACAGTAGTGGGGAAAACAGTATTTTTAACAGTAGTGTGAAAAAAGTATGTTAACAGCAGTGTGAAACAGTATGTTAAAAGTTGTGTGAAACAGTACGTTAACAGCGTGTGAAACAGTATGTTAACAGTAGTGTGAAACAGTATGGGTTTAACAGCGTGTGAAAAAATATGTTAACAGTAGTGTGAAACAGTATGTTAAACGCAGTGTGAAAAAAGTATGTTAACAGCAGTGTGAAACAGTATGTTAACAGCAGTGTGAAACAGTATGTTTAAAAGTAGTGTGAAACAATATGTTAACAGTAGTGTGAAACGTATGTTAACAGCAGGTGTGAAACAGTATGTTAACAGCAGTGTGAAAAAAGTATGTTAACAGTAGAGTGAAACAGTATGTTAACAGTAGTGTGAAACAATATGTTAACAGCAGTGTGAAACAGTATGTTAACAGTAGTGTGAACAGTATGTTAACAGTAGTGTGAAACAATATGTTAACGTAGTGTGAAACAGTATGTTAACAGTAGTGTGAAACAGTATGTTAACAGTTTGTGTGAAACAGTATGTTAACAGTAGTGTGAAACAGTATGTTTTAACAGTAGTGTGAAACAGTATGTTAACAGTAGTGTGAAACAGTATGTTTTAAAAGCAGTGTGAAAGGTATGTTAACAGTAGTGTGAAACAGTATGTTTAAAAGTAGTGTGAAACAGTATGTTAACAGCAGGGGTGAAACAGTATGTTAACAGCAGTGTGAAACAGTATGTTAACAGTAGTGTGAAACAGTATGTTAACAGTAGTGTGAAACAGTTATGTTAAGAGCGTGGGGAAACCCGTTGTTAAGAGCAGTGTGAAACAGTATGTTAACAGCAGTGTGAAACAGTATGTTAACAGTAGTGTGAAACAGTATGTTAACAGTAGTGTGAAACAGTATGTTAACAGCAGTGTGAAACAGTATGTTAACAGCAGTGTGAAACAGTATGTTAACAGCAGGGGTGAAACAGTATGTTAACAGTGTGTGAAAGAGTAT